AATTTATTTCTTCTATAGCTACTCATTCCGGTCTCAACCTCATGGCCCTAACTGAGACTTGGATCAAACCTGAGGACACTGCCACTCCTGCAGCCCTCTCCACAAATTTCACTTTTTCCCATACCCCTCGCACGATTGGGAGGGGTGGAGGTACTGGTCTCCTCAAATGAATGGAAATTTGATCTTCAACCATTTCTTACAGGCAACAGTTCATTTGAATCACATGCAATTACTATTACCCACCCTGTTAAAATTCACTTTGTAGTCGTTTATCGTCCCCCAGGTCAACTGGGAAACTTCTTGGAGGAGTTGGATATGTTACTATCAAACTTTCCTGAGGATGGTACTCCTCTGTTACTGCTCGGTGACTTCAACATCCACCTAGGAAAACCCCAGGCTGCTGACTTCAACACTCTGATCGCCTCATTTGATCTCAAGTGAGTGTCTACTATGGCTACTCACAAATCAGGTAACCAACTGGACCTCATCTACACACGCTATTGCTCCACTGACAACACTTTAGTTACTCCACTGCACACCTCAGACCACTTCCTCATCACTTCTAACCTCACAGTAACTCCTGACACAGCACACACTCCTCCATAGATCACCTTTTGACGTAACCTACGCTCACTCTCTCCCTCTCACCTATCCTCTATGGTTTCATCCTCACTTCCTTCACCCTCTCAGTTTTCAGCACTGGACACAAACAGTGCTACTGACACTCTTTGCTCCACTCTAACATCTTGCTTAGACAACTTTTGCCCACTTTCATCCAGACCAGCACGCACTACCCCCTCTGCCCCCTGGCTGTCCAAAACACCGGGTGGATTTTTATCATTATAGGGTGGTTGTGTACACACCCTGCCAACACACATTTCAGTTCAAACAACTTGTAAAAGTGCATGTAGCATCCTATGACCCCTTTAAATAACCGAAAATGGTTCTTTTATAGCATCGCTGTGAAGAACCTTTTAAGCACCTTTAGTTTTAAGAGTGTACATGAGAATTTGCATAGACACAGACATATAAATATGACAATAAATAAAAAGTAAATAAAAAGTTTAACTCACCAAAATAACAAGCAAAAGGAATGTTGTCTTCACAGTCGCGGTCATACCAGTAGCCATCGTAAACACGAACACACAACTCATTTTCCTGTTGTCCAAGTTTCCACCTTGTGAACGAGGATCTGCTCTGATCTAACCAGACAAAGACTCCATTACCTGTAGTCCGATAGAGTCCAAGCCAAAACTTTCCCAGTCCTGCAGTTTTCAGCAGCTCATTGTGATCCACCTGATCAACGGTGTTGACAAGATCAGCGTAATTCTGTCTGCAGTACTTCTGTGCATTCATCCAGTTCATGCTTGAGGACACATAGACAAACTCATGACGCTTTTTTAAGAAAATAAAAAATATTCTATGTATTCCTTTCACTACTAGGACAAGAAAATCATCTTAAATGAGAAATTGTAGAGAAAGAGTAATCACAGTCGCGGTCATACCAGTAGCCATCGTAAACACGAACACACAACTCATTTTCCTGTTGTCCAAGTTTCCACCTTGTGAACGAGGATCTGCTCTGATCTAACCAGACAAAGACTCCATTACCTGTAGTCCGATAGAGTCCAAGCCAAAACTTTCCCAGTCCTGCAGTTTTCAGCAGCTCATTGTGATCCACCTGATCAACGGTGTTGACAAGATCAGCGTAATTCTGTCTGCAGTACTTCTGTGCATTCATCCAGTTCATGCTTGAGGACACATAGACAAACTCATGACGCTGTGAGAACGTCACGTTCATCAGAGCTGAAGATGGGAGAAAATGCATTCATTTAACTTTCAGGTTATAATACAATGAACCTGATTCAGCAGTTAAGAAAATAAAAAATATTCTATGTATTCCTTTCACTACTAGGACAAGAAAATCATCTTAAATGAGAAATTGTAGAGAAAGAGTAAACTGTTCCTCATGACCAGAGACCTATGAGAACAACTTGTTAAACTACTCAGATATCTGTATAAACCCATGTTTTAATTCAGACTGTTCAAACTGCTCTTTCACCTCTAAATAATCAGACAAAACCTGTCATTTTTACTTGTTCTCTTCTGAACATCCCAGGGAAAGTAAATGGCAGTGACTTCATATTTCTGTTCTTGTGTTGCGTTCTTTACAAAAGGACTTAATTCAATGAGATTTTCTTTTTATTAATGTCAGAATGATAGGAAAATACCATCACAAACAGGTCAATTAGTGATTTAACCAAAACCATCATTAAAAGTGACCAAGGAGTTTCAACTTACATCCAGAAAACGTTGTTTAAACGTCCAGCAGAACTGTTTATATTTATGTGATGTTTCCCGGGTCCTGTTAGATTCTGAAAATCAAACCATATTTAAACAAGTTACGACTGAAATACAAAGAGCTTCTCTCAACAAATGAAGATGATGGTCATTTACCTGCAGCAGTGAACAGATGGAAGATAGATAGCGACTGATTCTGCGTCTGTGTTCTTCTCATTAAATTCAGTTTTTAGTCTCGATATGCAATTGATCACTTATGCAAAACTTATTGTCCGTCTTAGATGCTAAATGTTTTCGTAAAAAAAAAGATTTACGTTCTGCCTTTGTTACAATGTGATTCATTCATTCAAATCGCTTCGCAAAGCATGGAAATAGCTAATGATGAGTTGTGCCTCCATCATTTTGTCTTACAAACAGTGACTTGCAAATTACAACAAATGAAGCAAAATTACATCAACTATTGGGAAACACGTCAATGAAATGCATGTCAATAAAGATACACACGTGCATGCATACACCTTTAACATCTTCATTGCCTGCCAGTTTTTATTTACAGTTCACATTTGTGGTTTAAATTAATAATACATGTCACATTTTCTTCAGCAGCTTTATTAAGGTTTATTAGGACCGTTTCCATTAATCAAGTTTCAGCAACATTTCGAACCGGCACACAAAAGAAAAACCTAAAGTGCATATGATTATGTTGATTGTGGTCACGCTCAGGTTGCCTTGTATAAACATTCATGTGCCGACTTTCAGCCAAATTTCCTCTGACTCGCCCGTCATGATTGCTGTGCTGCTATTGGTTCATCATACGGGTCACTGCAAAAGCCAGGTCAAATACTTACTCAGTTTTCACATTACCAAAACCTGGAATACAAAACAAGGCTTTCCTCTGCTGCCCGCCGGTTAATTTTTATTTGAATTTTCATTATTTAAATGTTTCTTAGTCAGTGCTATGTAGATTACTTAAAAGTTGTAAATTGCATGACAAACATTGCAGTTAGTAATGTAATCCACTGCATTACATATTTTAGGTAATTCCATTACATTGTTTTTCTATCAAATTATTACTGTAGAAACAGAAAAAAAAACATCTATAATCTCAGATTACACACTTTTGTTTACATGTAGGGGAGAGTGGGGTAAGATGAGCCATATTTTACTTATGTGGTCGTCAAGATAATGGCAAATGAGGTACATGAAGTACAATGAAAATGAAGTACAATAAAAGCATCTAAAGTAATTTAGGATGATTCCTATCATTTTAAATTATCAGAAAGTATCTATGACAAGGGTTCTAAAAAATATTGCTTCTTATAACAAAGTGTTCCCGTGGCTCGCTTTGCCCCAGGTTAAGGGTAAGTTGATCTACTCGATGAAATCATGTTCTCCTAAGAAGCACCATCTGGGTGTAAACTCTGAATTTGATTCAAACCCAATGCGAAATTTCAAAGATAATTTACCTCTTTTAACAACTAATTTAATAATCAAATTTTGCTTTAAAAACAGCCATATTTCTTTGTGGATGTGGATCTTTCAGATGAATTTAAGTAGTGCTGGGGCCCGTTTCAATAAGGTGGTTCAACCAACTCCGAGTTGAGACTTAAACTCTGAGTTGACGTACCCTGAGATGGGAAACTTTCGGTTTTCAGAGTTTGGGGTTTCAGAACAGCTCAATTGAGTTAGTTCAGTCGACTCTGAGTTTAGCGCGTGCACCACAACTATGAGAAGTCATGATCAATAGAGCTCCGAAATTATGATTCACCATGGCAACAGCACCGACAAAAAGACGTCCGCATACTTCCGAGTCAATACATAACTTACGAGGATGACAAGGATTCAAATAAGGATGTTTAATGTAGAGACAACAAGGCAGATACGGGTAGATGAGACACACACACTCAGGGTAACATTCACAATAACAGACCAACTAGACTACAGGAGGCAGGAACTAATATAGGGTGGATAACGAGGGGCAGACAGGTGAGCACAATCAAGGTAATTAACTAATAATGAGGACAGGAACAACCAAATAAGGACACAGGGGCGTTACACCAGTGGGGTAAGAAATTAAAAATGTGCATACACTAGGTAATAATAACCTAACGAGCTAGCGAGTCAAATTAACCCAGCTTGTGTTCTGTTGAATATTTCCCCAGCACGGGGTTGACAAATAACCCAGCATTGGTCGCATTTAACATCACTTTTAGCGTGTAGGATGGACTAATCATTGTAGTTTGTTTCTATTGTACTTATGAAATTGTCTTAACAATATAGGACCTCTTTTATAGAAGTTTCCCAATAGCCTACATGTCATATTTTAAGATGGAAATAATCAATTTAGCAACATTTGACATTAAACACCACATTTTCCTAACGCAACCGTTTGCTGTGTATGAATGAGGGTGCATTAAAACATCACTAATCACAGGTTAGTTTGAATTCTGAACCCTAGAAAAAAAAGCTCAGAAATGACACTTACCAAGTCTCAAATACAACAGATAAGAGACTATTATATTCAAAAACCAGCTTGCATAAACACCCATACCACTTGAAACACAAATTCAACAAATCTTAAACTAAATACAAGGACAATCTCAATGAATAAATGCACAGTAACTATAAAGACAAAGAAAATGAGTAAATAGTGACGGACTTCATGTGCTACCAATAATGCATTTGTGCTGTACACATACATGTTCAGTTAGTTATGTGTAACCTCAAGTCTGTTTTGTGGCATCCCTGTACTAGTGCGCTTTTGGAAGACATTCCCAATGGACTGGGTTCTCCATGAAAGTTTAGCATGTTGTGTCAAACCCTTCTCCTCCAGTATCTGCTCCATCTGAAGAACAGAAAGACTTTGAAATGATTTTACTCTTGGCTTTTTCCATTGGAATTACAGTGGTAAGTCAAGTTCCTCTATCACAGGGGTCTCCATCTCTGCTCCTGCAGAGCTACTGTCCTGAAGATTTCAGCTGCAACCCCAACCGAACACGTTACTTGAAAATTATAGACAGGTGTGCTTGAGCAGGGCTGGAACTGAAGTCTGCAGGACGGTAGCTCTCCAGAAGCAAGGTTGGAGATCCCTGTTCTATATCATGACGTGTGTGAGACTCACCTTTGCTAAAATCTTGTTCGTCACCGCAGGATCATTCAGATTTTGACTTGATTTCACCTCCACTCTCACGATCTGTCTCTTCCTGTCTGTGAGAAACACAATGGCTACGTTTACATGCAACCAAATAATCCGTTTGTAATCGGATTGACGGCTCAATCGGACTGAAAAGCCTTCATGTAAACACCTTAATCCGGGCACACACTGTGCGATTTATAATGATCCTTTACGATTGTTTCTTGTCAGACTGTACGAACATGATCATGTCACACTGCTGGATTTTAGTTGTCATTAATGTCAGACTTTACGACACGTTAAAAACGGGTGCGCGCAAGAAAACTTGTCCAGAGTTTTACATTATCAACCCATACACGTTCAGTGACTGTGAGCTGCATTACACGCAATGCTGAAATGTATATGAATGGCGGCAATAGTGGCATATTTAAGAAGAATAGTGTAAGCAGCACTACACACCCACATGAAAACAGCAGCGCAACCGGTGTTTATCATAGCAAAGGCAATGTATCATATGAATTCTGTGAGCGGAGGACGAGAGCGCCGGAGTTTATGCGGTTAGAAGAAATCTCTAGCATTAATTCTGATCATGGCTTGTCTTGAAAAACGGAGACAGTTTGACGTTCGTCGTAGGAGATGTCACACTGTAGGACTGTGCGCCAAATCTTCTGATTATAGGAATCGTTTAGGATTTTCAAAATTTGTGTGAATTGAAATAGCGTAATGACGTATGACGCGCAGAACAAGCGTAAACATATGTAAACATAGCCACTGATGAGACATGTAGTCTTGCTATGGTAGTCAGGGTTACCCAGTCGGTATTAACCATTGTACACAGATTGCTTTACTTGCCCACCACTGTACCGCGCCCCGTTGTCACTTTTGAGCCATTTGGTTCAGTTGGACTATGGACGCTACAATTGTAAGTACCTGCCATGTTCAGTGGCTCCATTGCATCATCGAGTCATGATTTTAGCCCCGCCCAAAAAATCCTGAACACGAAAATGTTTAACGGTCTAACTCCACAATTAAAGGTGGGGTAAGCAATTTCTGGTAGCCAATGTTGACATTTGAAATCACCAAAACAAACACACCCCTACCCCCAAATTTTGCCAATACTCGCCACGTCCAAACAAGCACGAAGGTGCACGCGGCAAAAATGACACGAATATTGGCAAGACGATGGTGGAGGAATTGGTTTCCAAGTGAAAAGTAAAGTAAAAGACCGTTACTTACCAGAGAAGGTGAACATGTATGTTCACATGCAAGCACCATCACAAACAGCTTTTAATTTGATTGATTTATTTATTTATTTTCATTTTAACTTTGACTTTCTAAAGCGTTTTTGAAAAATCGCTTACCCCACCTTTAAGTACTACATAGTTCACAGCCCATAGTTCCAACTAGCCAATACTCCCCACGTCCAAACAAGCACGAAGGTGCACGCGGCAAAAATGACATGAATATTGGCAAGACGATGGTGGAAAAGCATCCTAGCTGTATGTGACTTTCTTCTTTCAGACGAATCCAATCGGAGTTATATTACAATTTGTCAAGCCTTTCAATGGGGGTAAGCGGGTGTTGGTTGTCAAATGTTCATAAGACGTGAAATAAAGTGCGCGTATCCGTAATAAAACGTGCCTCACACGGCTCCGGGAGTGAATAAAGGCCTCTTGTAGCGAATCCATGCATTTTTGTAAGATAAATATCTATATTTCAAACGTAATAAACACTTTTTTCTCACTTCCGCTGACTGTGGTATGCGGAAGGCATGCAGGTGGATGACGTATGCGCAGCGCGCGCGCCTCTGAGAAATGCAAGAGCAAAGGAAACAAAGTTTCCTTACTTTAGCAAAGTAAAACCAGTCTCCTCTTGGATTCTATCGAAATCCTCCGACATTTTTCTTTACAAATCCTCGATTTGTGCTTCTAATTCGTGAACGGCGTTTTGTTTTGTTCTCTCTCCGCGCTCTTCACTAATCACGCAACGCCGACGTCCTACATCATCCGCCTCGATGGCTTCCGCATATGACAGTCAGCGGAAGTGAGAAAAAAGTGTTTATTACGGTTGAAATATGGATATTTATCTTACAAAAATGCATGGATTCGCTACAGGAGGCCTTTATTCACCTCCCGGAGCCGTGTGAGGCACGTTTTATTACGGATACGCGTACTTTATTTCACGTCTTATGAACTTTTGACAACTTTTGACAACAATTTTTAATATAACTCCGATTCATCTGAAAGAAGAAAGTCACATACACCTAGGATGCTTCGAGGGTGAGTAAAACACAGGTTAATTTTCATTTTTGGGTGAACTAACCCTTTAAAGCTCAACCATAGCATTGCATTTTTAATATTTGCTGCACGTTACAGCTGAGTTGTGCCTCCATCATTTTCTACTACAATTAGTGACTTCCAAATTACAACAAAGGAAACACAATCACATCAGCTATTGAGAAGTAATTCAATGAAGTCAATAAAGTTATACAAATGCATCCATACGTCTTTTTCCTTCAAACACCTTATGCATGTATTCATGCCAGTTTTAATTCACATTTTTTAAATTTGTGGTTTAAATAAATAATACGTCACATATTCTTCAGCAGCTTTATTAAGGTTTATTAGGATTATTTCCAATAATCAAGTTTCAGCAACATTCCGAGCCGGTACACAAAATAAAAACCAAAGGTTTCTACGTAATTATGTTGATTGTGTTCACGCTCAGGTTGCCTTGTATAAACATTCATGTGCCGACTTTCAGCCAAATTTCCTCTGACTCACGTGTCATGATTGCTGTGCTGCTATTGGTTCATCATACGGGTCACTGCAGGACAGACCTGCTGCAGGACAGGGCGAGTCAAATAATTATTCAGTTTTCACGTTACCAAAACCTGGAAGGCAAAATAAGGATTTCCTCTGCTGCCCTTCAGATTTTTTTTACCAGGTACTAATGTAGTAAAACATTAAAAGACCAAATTCAGCACACATCTTATTGATTGTGAATACTAGAGGCTGATGCGCCCAGAATTTAAATGCAATGCACTAAATTGTCAAAGAACAATTTTTGTTTCAATTTGCATTATTCAAACAATGTTTCTTAGTAGCATTATTTTACTGGGATAAAACATGCTGATGCATATTGTGTCATAGCACTTTACCAGTGATGGTCACACATTAAAAAAAATGCAGGTTAATTTTTTATGGGTCTTTATTGGGTTATTTTTATAGGTAGTCTGATGGTCCATTCAAGTCCTCCAGGGAAATTCGTATTTATAAGTCTAGGTTCAAGTCAATGTATATATTTACATATGAGCTAATAAAATGACCACAGCTGATCACAGTTGGAAGTCATTTTCAGGAGGGGGTGATCCTTTTTACAGCTCAGTGATTCTGATTTTTAATTTTTCTGACATGTTGGTGTTATATCTTTCACTTGAATGTTATACGTTGCACTGAGTAAATACAGCTGGATAAAACAAAAACTGTGTCTGTCTTCATTTTAGGCTACAAAGCAACAAAATGTGATTATTTTCTATGCCCACTGTATATAGAGTGCTCCTTGAAAGGTTGTGAACCCTTCAGAATTTTCTATATTTCTTCATAAATATGACCCAAGAGATCATCAGATTTTCCCGTCCTGAAAGTTGACAAAAAGAATAAAATCAAACAAATGAGATGAAAGCATATTCTTTATCATTTATTTATTGAGAAAAATGATCCAGTGTTACAAATCTGTGAGTGGTAAAAGTATGTGAATCTTTGCTTTCAGTATCAGGTGTGACCCCCTTTGCAAGTTTCTTGTAACTGCTGATCAGTCCTGCACAATGGCTTGTTGGAATTTTAGCTCATTCCTCAGTACAGAACCACTTCAACTCTGTGATGTTGGTGGGTTTCCTCCTATAAACTGCTTGCTTAAAGGGTCAGTTCACCCAAAATTGAAAATTAGCCTGTGATTTACTCACCCTCAAGGCATCCAAGGTGTATATGACTTTCTTCTTTCAGACGAATCCAATCGGAGTTATATTAAAATTATATTAAAAATTGTCCTGACTATTCCAAGTGTTATCATTGCAGTGGGCAGGTGTTTTTGTTCAACAGTCCAAAAGACGTCAAATAAAGCGCGTGCCTCACACGGCTCCGGGGGGTGAATAAAGGCCTCCTGTAGCGAAACCATGTGTTTTTATAAGAAAAATATCCATATTTCAAACGTAATAAACACTTCTCTCTCACTTTATCTAACTGTGGTACGCGGAAGCCGTTCTGGCGGATGACGTAGGACGTCGGCATTTTTCAGCCAGTATGGAGACAGGAGGAGCCAAGCCGGATCAGACAGAGGGAGGAGCCAGGGAAGACCCAGGCCGCAGCCATGAAAGCGACCCACGGTGGAGCTGACGGAGAGAGGAGCCATGGTGGAGGAAGGGCTGATGACTCCAGGGGGCCGTCCGATGGCGGCGGAGTAGGTGGAGGTGGAGTCATGACTCCCAAAACCAGGAGCACAGCGGACAGGGGAACGACCTCCGTGGTCGTGACAGGACAGACAGATAGTCCAATACGGGCAGACAGTTCAGGGCTGACAAACAACATAACCGACCTCCATAGTCGTGACGGGACAAACAGACAGTTCCAGACAGACAGACAGTTCATAAACAGCCTCCATGGCCGTATCAGGACAGGAAGAAGATTACAGTGCACAGCATAAATGAGTACACCCCCTCTGATTAAATATAAAAGATGTATTTTCTTAATGATCACTAATATAATTCATAGAAAGATGGCAAAATTGAAATGTATTAAACATATTC